AACCAATTTAAAATTGAATATATAAATACTAAAAGATGTTTAAAATTTTAAAAATCTTTTATAAAAGAGGGGGAAAATTAGGCCAGGCCGGCCTGGTGAAATAGTAAGGTCTTTAAGGCGCGGCGGAAGGTGCGCAGATCCGGGATCCTCCGTATCTCTGGGGGGAGCTCGTTCCAGATAGTAGGTGCCCCCACAGAGAAGGCTCTCCCCCTGGGGGCCGCCAGTCGGCATTGTTTGGCTGACGGCACCCGGAGGAGCCCCTCTCTATGGGAGCGTACCGGCCGGTGGGAGGCTATTGGTGGTAGTAGGCGGTCCCGCAAGTACCCGGGTCCTAAGCCATGGAGCGCTTTAAAGGTGGTAACCAAAACCTTGAAGCGCACCCGGAAGACCACCGGGAGCCAGTGCAGCTCGCGCAGGAGAGGTGTTACATGGGAACGCCATGTCGCTCCCATTACCACCCGCGCGGCCGCACTCTGCGCCAGTTGGAGCCTCCGGGTGCTCCTCAAGGGGAGCCCCATGTAGAGAGCGTTGCAATAGTCCAGGCGGGAGGTGACAAGGGCATGAGTGACCGTGCGTAAAGAGTCCCGATCCAGAAAGGGACGCAACTGGCGAATCAGGCGAACCTGATGAAAAATCCTCCCGGTCACGGCCGTCAAGTGCTCTTCTAAAGACAGCCGTGAATCCAGGAGGACGCCCAAGTTGCGAGCCCTCTCCGTGGGGGCCAATGATTCACCCCCAATAGTCAGTGATGGCGTCAACTGACTATATCGGGACGTCGGAAACCACAGCCACTCAGTCTTGGATGGGTTGAGCCTGAGCCTGTTCCTCCCCATCCAGATCCGTACGGCCTCCAGGCACCGGGACATCACTTCAAGGGCATCGTTGGGGTGATCCGGGGTGGAGATGTACAGCTGGGTGTCATCAGCGTACTGATGGTACTCCACCCCGAAACCACGGATGATCTCGCCCAGCGGCTTCACATAAATGTTGAACAGGAGAGGCGAGAGGACCGACCCTTGCGGCACCCCACGTATGAGGGGCCTCGGGGTCGACCTCTGTCCCCCTGTCAACACAGACTGCGACCGGTCAGAGAGAAAGGAGGAGAACCACCGCAACACAGTGCCTCCCACCCCCAACTCTTCCAACCGGTGCAGCATGATACCATGGTCGATGGTATCAAAAGCCGCTGAGAGATCTAACAGGACCAGGACAGAGGAGCACCCCCTGTCCCGAGCCCTCCAGAGATCATCAACCAACGCGACCAATGCCGTTTCCGTGCTGTACCCGGGCCTGAAGCCCGACTGGAACGGATCCAGATACGTCGTTTCATCCAGGTTCTGCATTACTATTAATCTTCTCATTGTTCCTATCACCCATCTCCTCCCACTTACGACTGTATGACTGTAACCTTGTTGCTGGTATCCTTAAGATTTATATTGACTGTTTCCTAATATGATTTGATTGCTTATTTGTTCCCTATGACTATCATTAAGTGTTGTACCTTATGATTCTTGATGAACGTATCTTTTCTTTTATGTACACTGGGAGCATATGCACCAAGACAAATTCCTTGTGTGTCCAATCACACTTGGCCAATAAAAAATTCTATTCTATTCTATTCTATTCTATTCTATTCTATTCTATTCTATTCTATTCCTGGAGGTCTTACATTATAACACTTTCCTGAAGTGTTACATGCACACAGAAGATGTCCTATGCTTCAACATGGCAGGGATAAACAAAATAAAACACAGGTGGAGAAATAAACAGCTCCAACAACCATTAGAGTCTGAAATCAAAGATTTTGTGCTTAAATTTACACATTCTGATGCACAAACTCCTTCTGTCGAAGAAGGAAACAGGATACCTCCAGTGTCACCACTCGCTCTCAAGCGCATGGGCCCTGAAACAAACAAAATGTTAAAACTTTGTGATATTTAGGTAGTTACTTACCAGGGGTGGGTTCTACTTACCTTTACTACTGGTTTGCAATGGGAGCACGCGCATGCGCAGATCGTCCATTATGACGTCTGAGTGGGTGGGCGGAGCTTCCCGCCACTTTTACTACCGGTTCACAAGAACCGGACAGAACCGGAAGCAACCCGCCATTGTTACTTACCAAGCACATCTACATTATGTTAAAGTAACCAAACTATTTTCACAATCTCCAAGGCATGTCACAACTTTTGGGAACCCCTAATGTTTGGAAATTGAAAGTTGAAAAATTTGACACACCGTAACTGGGCAATACAGCTTGTGTTACACAAACAGAGAGTTGCTGATTGCGATAATTCAGTGTGGATCGAATGAAGAGGAAATAGATCGTCATAATAACTGATTCAAAACGATCAAGTCTGGGCTGGCTTATCACTTTTTAAAATGTTTTTAATAGCTTTGTTACTGTTCTTTTAATTTTGGGGCCAAACATATATATATCTTTTTAAATTGGTTTTAATATTTGTATTTATGTTTTTACTTTGGCTGTACACCGCCCTGAGTCCTTCGGGAGAAGGGCGGTATATAAATTTGAAAAATAAATAAATAAGTCACGCTAAGCACAAGACATACAAAGATCCAAACCTAGAACTTATGGAGAAATTTCCTGATGGTAAGAACGATTCAATGCATGGAATGGCTTGCCTCCAGGAATTGTGGGTGCTCCATCATTGGAGTTTTTAAAAAGAGATTGGACAGCCATTTGCCCAGAATGGTATAAGGCAGTGATGGCTAACCTTTTTGCCACGTGCCCACCGCATGCGTGCGCAACCCCCTCCCCCCCCTGCTCCTGGCACATGATGACCTGGTAGGCCCGTTTTTCTTTCTTACCTGGTTCCAGATCCTCTCTGTGTATCTGGGAATCTGGAATCTGGAGTGTATCTGGAGTCTCTAGGAGCCTCTCTAGGAGTCTCTAGGAGCCTCTCTAGGAGTCTCTGGAGGCTGGGGACTCCACTGGGAGTCAGGAAATGGGCCCTTTCAGCCTCCATAGGGCCTCCAAAGGAGTGGGAAAGGCTGTTTTCGCCCTTCCCAGATACACAGAGAGGGTCTGGAGCCAGGTAAGAAAGAAAAATGGGCCTTCCCCACCCCGCCCCCAGGCCCTCCAGAGGCAGGAAACAGCCTGTTTCCCTACTTCTGGTGGGCCCAGAAGGCCCCAAAATCAGCTGGCCGGTGTGTGCATGCGCCCCAGAGCTGAGCTGGCGTGCCCACTAATATGGCTCCGCGTGCCACCTGTGGCACGCGTGCCATAGGTTCACCATCACGGGTATAAGGTGTCCTACTTGAGTAGGGGCTTGGACTAAAAAACAAAACCCAATCTTATATTTTTTTTGCCACTCAAAAAGGCACTAGGTCTTAATTTTTGGGCGGTGTCTTCCACTGACTCACCTTGTGGTGGCAGCAACTACAGCCCCACCCAGCAGGAACCCACTGCCGGCCTACTTCTTCTGTGGCTGCTTGCCGCCGCTTGCACACATCGCCCCTGGCCTCCGTTTCACCGTCAGAGGTCCTTCCAGAAAGGCCTCTGCAATCGATAACAGACCTCCGGATCGATCAGGAGCTCTGTTATCAACTGCAGAGGCCTTTCTGGAAAGGCGCTGTGCAGGTCAATCTGGAGCCCGTTTCTCAGCGGCAGAGGCCTCTCCTGAAGGCTTCTGACAGCGAAACAAAGGCCAGGATAGTGGGTAGGTGACCCTGAGATAAACCTCCAAGTGCTTCAAGGACCTTCTAAAAGGATGCAAATTATCGGCTGTCTGCAAGGAATATACTAATTTTTTTTCAATTTCCCACTATCCTGTCAGAGCTGAAGAAGCTTCTTGGATGAGAAGCGAAATGTCTTCAAAAGAAAAAACAAGAAAGTCCAGTTGCTTCCTGAAAAAAGCAACTTTTGGGACAAACAAATGTTATTAATTTATCATTTATAACTTCATAATGTTGTAGCTGCCATATTCAAATAGAATAGAGATGGAAGGGAATTTGGAGGTCTTCTAGTTCATCCTCTTGCTCAAGCAGGAGACCTATAGGAGTGATGGCTAACCTTTTTGCCATCGCATGCCAAAAGCGGGGGGAGCATGGGGGGGGGGGGTCCACCGGAAGTTGGCAAATGGACTGTTTCCGGTCTCCGGAGGGCCTCTAAGGGAGTGGGGAAGGCCGTTTTCGCCCTTCCCAGGCTCCTAGAGTGGCTCTGGAGCCTGGGGAAAGCAAAAAACGGGCCTTCTGGTCCCACCAGAAGTTGGCAAACAGGCAGGTTCTGGCCTCCAGAGGGCCTCTGGGTGGCGGGTGGGGAAGGCTGTTTTTGCCCTTCCCAGGCTCCTAGAGAGGCTCTGGAGCCTGGGGAGAGCAAAAAACGGGCCTTCCCCATCCCCCTAGACCCTCCGGAGGTGGAAAACAGCCTGTTTCCCTACTTCTGGTGGTCCCAGAAGGCCCAAAAATCAGTTGGCTGGCGCATGCATGCTCGCCGGAGCTGAGCTCGCGTGCCCACCGATATGGCTGGCACACGTGCCGTAGGTTCACCATCACGGTCCTATAGCATTCCAGACAAGTGACTGTCAAGACTCTTCTTAAAAGCCACCAGTGAGGGAGCACCCACAACTTCTGAAGGCCAACTGTTCCACTGATTAATCGTTCCGTCAGGAAGTTTCTCCTCAATTCCAGGTTCCTTAATTCTGCCTGTCAACTCAGAACCCAAGGCATCCTTTCTCTTCGGTTAGCTAAAATAATGCTTCAGTTTATGCAAACCCTTATTTCCGTGCAGGATCTACAGCTTTGCCCTGACGTTCTGCCGTGTTCCCAGCAATGGGCAGTCATCTTTTTAACTCAAACTTAATTATATGATAAGGCCCTGGTTGCCCTTCGCCTGCAAGCTAATTTCTGTAATTCTAATCTTGGTGTGACCTTACCAAACCTGTTTGACCAGAGATAACAATAGGGTGAATGCACACACAATCCTTCTACCTTCAACTCTCTCTCTCTCTCTCTCTCTCTTTTTTGTTTTTTGCCTTGTTAAGACTCCTTACGGTTGCAAAGTTTCACTCTGAACTCCCTGAATGAACTCTTCTGAATAGCCGGCTCCTTGGTTTCCTGGATTTACTATCTTTGCGGGGAAAGTTGTCATTGTGATCCCTTTTCTCTGCTGTGGAAGATGGGTCTTCAAGATCCACGTTTACGTTAACAACTGCAGGAGATGTCCAGGACTGAAATCAATTTAACGAAGGTAGACAGGTATGCTTTACGTTTTAGTCATTTCATTGCGTTGTGTTTCTGAGAAGGCAGAAGTTAACTCTATCCTTACCAGAGATTTTGCTTCCTTTCCTTTCTTCGGTTTTCATAAGTGCCAAAGATAAACTAAGTGCTATAAACAGGGGGGGCAATTTCTGCTATCATCCATAAAAACAACAACACATTTTCGGTATGTTTGTTCGTCTGTGTGTTAGATTGATTGATTGATTGATTGATTGATTGATTGATTGATTTATTTATTTATTATATTTCTATACCGCCTTTCTCCCGTAGGACTCAAGGCGGTGTACAGTCAAGAAAAATATAGACACACAAACATCATAAAATTGCTAATTAAAATTGTTACTTAGTTTGGTCAATTAAATAAAACCCAGAATTAGATAACATTTAAAAAATCATTCGCATGTTTGTATGTTTAGCCCTGCCTGTTGGAACATCAGGGTCTTGAGGGCACGGCGGAAAGCACGGAGATCAGGGATATTCTTATATATATAAGATTTATACCTTCCTTCCTTATTCCAAAGGATCGAGATGGATGATGTTTAAGATCCCTCCCCACTTTCCTCCAAGCACTTCTGTGAAAGTCAGAGAATAGATTTGAATCCGAATTTGAATCTTAATTCGGAGTCTCCTCGGGCTCAATCCAACCCGATTGCGCTGGTTATCAAAGGGGCTGTAAAATAGTGTAACCTGCCAAACTATTGTAGTGTTGACAGATTGTGGTGGAGTTAAGGGTTTTGTGTGAGACTGTATAAAGATTTGGGCATACTTGTTCAAGATGTTAACAGGAATAGAATGGCTAGACGGAAATTTAATTAATTTAGGTTTAGGTTTATGTTTAGGTTTATTAAATTTGTATACCGCCCTTCTCCCGAAGGACTCAGGGCGGTGAACAGCCAAGATTAAAATACATACAATATAAAAATTAAGATGAATTAAAACAGAATTAAATCAAATTGGCTTCCCAAAATTTAAAACCCTTTGCCCATAAAATAACCCATTAAAATTTTAAGCCAGCCCGGCTTGCTGAAATAGGAAGGTCTTCAAAGCTCGATGGAAAGTACGGAGGTCCGGGATCAGTCGTATTCCTGGGGGTAGCTCGTTCCAGAGGGTGGGTGCCCCCACAGAGAAGGCTCTCCCCCTGGGGGTCGTCAGTCGACATTTAATTTAATTAATCATATTTCTATGCCGCCCAACTCCCTAGGGGCTCTGGGTGGCTTACAACAGAAATAATACAAACAGTGAACATATTTTTTTTAAAAAAATCATTATAAAAGCATTTTAAAAACATTAAAAACACATGCACATCATCCATGGCCGGATCTCGCAAGATTGAACAGCGAGATCAACGGCCCCAGGCCTGCCGGAAAAGCCAGGTCTTCACCGCTTTCCGGAAGGCCAATAGGGAGGGGATGGTCTGGACCTCAGAAGGCAACTGGTTCCAGAGAGCTGGGGCAGCCACAGAGAAGGCCCTCCCCCACGGGCCTGCCAGCCGGCATTGTTTAGCTGACGGGACCCGGAGGAGACCAACTCTGTGGGATCTTACCGGTCGCTGGGAGCTATGCGGTAGAAGGCGGTCTCGAAGATAACCTGGCCCAGAGCCATGTAGGGCTTTAAAGGTAATAAGCAACACCTTGAATTGTGCCTGGAGACCAATAGGGAGCCAGTGCAGCTCGCGGAGAATTGGTGTAATGTGGGTGTATCTAGGTGCACCCACGAAATGAGGGAAATCACTTGGATATATCACTTCTCACACAAGCACAGAGCCCAGGGAGTGACAATAGTCCCACCACGTTCTCTCATCCCAGGTTGCCTCACAAAGTTTTTGTTGCAAGGATAACTGAGTGTGCCAACTTGTACTCCTCAAAAGGATGGTGGCTATAATATAAATAAATATAAAACTAAATATAATACTATACACATGCACACACACACACATATACACACACACACACAGAGTATATCTACAGTTTGTATGTGTGTGTGAGTTCCTCTCTCTCTCTCTCTCTCTCTAATATATACACACACACACACACAGAGAGAGAGAGAGAGAGAGAGAGAGGGAGGGGGAGAGAGAGAGGGAGGGAGGGAGATAGATGGATACCATGTTTTCCCGAAAATAAGACCCTGTCTTATATTTTTTGAACCCTGAAATAAGCGCTTGGCCTTATTTTGGGGGAGGTCTTATTATTTTGGGGCGCGTGGAACAAGACGGGGCTCCTCTTGCTGTCTTACCTGATTTCCAGCTCTGTCTCCCTAACCCTAACCAGAGGAAACGGCTGGGACCGGCTATGCATGCATTTAAATATTTTCGGGGAGGGCTTATTTTGGGGGGGGGGTATTTTCAGGGGGGTTATTTTAGCGCATGCACTCAAAAGCCCGATTGGGCTTATTATCAGGGGATGTCTTATTTTCGGGGAAACACTAGGTAGGTAGGTAGGTAGGTAGGTAGGTAGGTAGGTAGGTAGGTAGGTAGATAGATAGATAGATAGATAATTAGATAGACAGACAGATATAGAGATAGATGATAGATAGATAGATAGACAGACAGACAGACAGACAGACAGACAGACAGGCAGAGTTGATAGATGATAGATGATAGATAGATAGATAGATAGATAGATAGATAGATAGATAGATGGATGGATGGATGGATGGATGGAGGGAGGGAGGGAGGAGGGAACAAAAAGGTAAAGAAAGTCTTATAAGAATTCGCAATCATGTTCATTCATTCATTCAATCAGTGGCTCTTATATAATCTGCATTGAGAGCTCATAACTGCACTGCATAATACAAATAGTCCTCGACTTATGACCACACCTGAGCCCACAATTTCTGTTGCTAAGCGAGGCATTTTTTAAAGTGAATTTGGACAGGTCCATTTTACGACCTGTCTTGCCACCGTTGTTAAGTGAATGACTGCAGTTGGTAAGTTAGAAACAAGGTTGTTAAATGAATCTGGTTTCCCCATTGTCTCTGCTTGTCAGAAGGTCCCAAAAGGGGATCACAGGACCCTGGGGACACTGCGACCGTCATAAATATGAGTCACTTGCCAAGCGTCTGAATTTTGATCACATGACCATGGGGATGCTGCAACACCACTTACAATGTGGTGTCGAATCCTTGCTAGTTGGCCTTGCTGGCTCCCCTAGCCAATGTCATCTGATACAGATTAACCGAGTTGGAAGCAGTGGTGAAATCCAATTTTTTTTACTACCTGTTCTGTGGGCGTGGCTTGGTGGGCGTGGCAGGGGAAGGATACTGCAAAATCCCCATTCCCTCCCCACTCCTGGGGGAAGGATATCGCAAAATCTCCATTCCCAGCCTACTCTGAGGCCAGCCAGAGGTGGTATTTGCCGGTTCTCTGAACTGCTAAAAATTTCCACTACCGGTTCTCCAGAACCTGTCAGAACCTGCTGGAAGGGACCTTGGAGGTCATCTAGTCCAACCCCCCGCCCAAACAGGAGACCCTACACCATTTCTGACAAAGGGCAGTCCAGTCTCTTCTTGAACGCTTCCAGGGATGAAGCTCCCACAACTTCTGAAGGCAACTTCTGTTCCATGGGTTGATTGCTCTCACTGTCATAAAATTTCTCCTTATTTCCAGGTTGAATCTATCCGGGATGCATTCAAAATTGGTGTTTGTCACCACATTCTGCCATATCCTACTCAGATTCAAATCATGCAGATCCTCTTCCATTTTGAATGGGTGTTAATGTGAAAATAGTCTCGTTTCTTCCTTTTTGCTCCTCCCTTGGGTGTAAAATTCAATGTCTGTTACTTCCTTTAAGCATTGGGGACATAGAGCAACTCAGACTAAAATGAACGTTTCTGCCTGGGTGTAGGCTCCTAACCCAATGACTATAAACACTGGATTTAAGGAAATAAACTTAATCCACAAATCCCCACCTCAAATAATGGCACGTGTTCCATTATTATGTAAATTTCTTTACAGTTGTCAACATATAGAGTTGATTTGTGTTAAGCTGCCAACCTTCCTCTTGACGAGATGCAATTATCTTTTGCAGGGTTACATTAAATGAGAGGCTGGTAGTTTAGGGATAACAGTACGTCAAATCACTTAATCTATTTATTTATAACAGGTGTTCTAGTTACTAACTTGGTAGTAAAATATAGATGCAGCAATAATTATTGCGGAATATAAAGCGGTGGCAAAAGATTCTGCTGCATTTTGAGAGCGATAGAAGTTTCTATTTGAAATAAAACATTAAGGGAATCTTAATTTGATGTCCAATAGTTTTCAGTGTACCACAACAGGAAATGAGGATTCAGGACTGAGTTAAAAGAGAGCCAGTATACGTTTGTGGTAAAAGAACCGGAGTCGGAGTAGGGAAACTTCATTGCAAATCCATGCTGAAAACTTACTAGCTGTTAGCCCCATCCTATCACACAGCATTGTGCTGACGCAGCAAAAAATTGAAGAAGGGAGTTCTTGGGCTGTTGGTTTGAGCTTGGCAATTTGGTTGCCAACGTTTCATCAACGTTTCATTTGAGGAGACATTGTCAACACGATTTGAATTGTGCTCGTCTCAGGGAATACATATCGACTGGTGGCCATATCGACTGCAGATACAATCCAGGTACAAAAAAGACATAGAAGAATTTGGTGTCGAGGTGGAAGCAAATCAATTAGACAAATTATTGGTGGGTCCAGAAAAAAAAGTATTAGCCAAACTTTACAATTACTTATTAGAATATGACAGAGCGGAAGAGGTGGTAAAAGAACCAATGATAATGTGGGACAAAAATATTGGACATAATATAAATCTGGATGAATAGGAAATGATTTGGAATAAGAACTACAAATTAACAAAAGCGACATCATATAAAGAAAACCAATATAAAATGTTATACCGATGGCACTTAGCGCCTGCAAGCCTGGCAAAAATCTATCCGAATGTAAGTCCTAAATGTTGGAAGTGTGGGCATCATCAAGGTACCTACTTCCATATGTGGTGGTA